AAATACTAGATTCCCCGATATTGAAAATCTCCAGTATTTCTTTCCGAATATCAACTCTGCTGTTTAAGACATGGAGTGTCATCTCTGTGCAGTTGAGTGTTAAAGGTATGCACTGGTTTAGTGAAATAAGTGTTAGTTTACATAAAAATATGTATCAATTTGAAATTCATACATTTCTTGACTCTTAATGGCACATACTGGAACACCATTACCAGGGAAGTGACAGGGAAAAGGTAAACACAATAATCAAATAATAATAAGAATGATGATGTCACAAAATAGTCAGCGCTTATCCTTGCAGGCAAGCTCATGGTTGCTATACGAAGAGGTAATTTTACAGCTACAATTGCCCTGCTGAACCTGACCAAAGCAGAAAGAAAGAACTTCCGCATCTGCATTTTTAATTGCATAACATTTACATTTCAATTTGTGAAATTATATTCTCATCATATGTGGTCCTGGCACACCTCAGGAAATTAACACACAATGTTATAGAAAGGTCAAGGAGGGACAGGCTCTTTTCAATAAAAGTCTCTTATCATTCATTCTTTTGAGGAGGCTCTATTGTGCCTGTAAAGCACTCTTACATCAGATGCAGTACATCTGTCTAGAGAGCACTTATCTGTGTATGGGGTAAAGCTTGTCAGTGAGCTGCCAGCTGCCAAGTCTGACTGATCTGTGCTTTTGTGGAGTGTGCAATTGTTTCAAGCGGCAGGGCTAAGATAAATCTGACATGTGCTTCTGTTTGTGTCTATCAAACATATGCCGATTGTGATTGCCGACAGTTGAAGGTCGACAAAGTGTTGAAAATAAACAATGTTTCTTCTGCATTGTATTATAGTGCATACAACTACTATATTACTCTCTATAACAGAAAAGTCACAATTACATTTCAATTATGCATTAGTCATATATTAATACTCTTTATTTATTTATAATTTGTGTTGGTTTGAATTTGTATTAATCTAAAACTGTACACTTCTTGTTTACACCTGCAGGTGGCAATGTTGCACAGAGACATACAGGCATAGACCCACTAATGTAAGAAAGTGGGGTACACACTCTACCACAGATACACTCAAATTACAGCCTTTTGGTTAGAGCTAGAGGAATAAAGCAGGACCAACTTAGCAAGGTTCCTGTTCTCAATGTGTTACAGTCATAGCCTAGATGTTAGGCTGCAAGAACATTAGCCATGTCTAGGTTCTATTCTTCAGACTAGTCCCAGTAGCACTGACAGTACAGTGAGCCAGCATGCACAAAACCAGTAACCAGAAAATGAGGCGCCTAAATAGAATACAGCCATTATTGATTTAAATTACACCTTGGCTTTTCATGTGACATGTCAAAATGTGTTCTCACCAAAAGGGGTATGACTGTACATGTGTTATCATTAGGCAAAAGTGAAGCCGAATTAATATTCCACCATGATACAGAACCTTCTCATTGATATTAATTTAATACAAATATGTGCACTAGAATTGATTTATGTTTTCGTTTATTTATTTCCTCTTATTGACACTAGATGGTCTGTTGAGATATACCTTAACAGAAACCAGGCTTAAATGGTGGCATGGTTTTGTCATGAACAAACACAGAGACCATCAGATAAATATTTTAGTAAAGAAGAATGAAATAAACTTGTTAAAATTAGTTGATTTAAAGGGACAGTTTACAAATTAAACTGAATTATCATATAGACAATCTAGAAATATATATTGAATCCGCACTGCAGACACAATAATATATAATAATGGGGATACTGCTAGGGCATTGTGACACCCAGTTTCATGTGTTGTCATGGTGATTCTACTTGGATATACAGCCTTTTTATTTTTCACAGCTGGAAGTCTTTGAGTGGCCATAGTCAGCTCCAAAAGGTATGCAAAAGCTTCTGCTATGAGAGAAAATCGTTGTATTTTCTTGTATTATAGATATTAAGGAATTGGAATTGTGCTGCATACATCCTGTTTTATGTTGACTCAAATGTTTAATGCAAAACTAAGTTTAACACATTAGTGTCAAAGTAATACAGCAAATGTTTGTTTGGGAATTATTCAAATACATCTGTTAGTTCTTGTTTATGTTATTGATTGTGAGGAGACCTGAATACTAAAATCCATCTCAGTGTTCCCCAAACAAAACTTACCTGGCAGGCAAGATTTAAGCTGTCACAAAACATTATTGCCTCCACATTTTCTCAGCCCTCACATGAGTCATCAACACACACTTTGAAATCTGAACAGCCTTTGTTTATTTTCCACAGAGGTTACTGTGAACCTGAGCACACATGAACTAAGAACAATATTATCGCGCTATGACTTAACACTCTTCTGCTTAAGCCACGGGAGAGCCTCTTGGCGTTTAGTCAGGTGCGCACACCTCCGTGGTGCAGTGAAACCAGCACCATCTTTACATGGTGTAGTGTGTCTGAAGCCAGTGCCCTCTGCATTCTTGGTCAAAATGTTCTTAAAACAACAGGGAGGTGCAGCAGAGTCAGTGGATTCAACTTTCTCTGGAAATTCCCAGACGTAACAGTAAGAGTTTGGACTATATGAAAACACCTAAATAAATGGGGGGTCTCTTTTCAGGGGATTCTGGGTGCATTATGTGTCTGAGTGTATGTGTGCAAAAATGGGAAATGCCCCCTGAATCAAAGAGGGTCCAGTGCTAATTTGGAGTTGAGTCAGTGACCTTTGTCCTCTGATTCACAGCCGAGGAATGCTCTTTGTGCTACAATCAGCAGCAGAGAAGAGGAGAGAAGCCCACTCCTCAGTTGCACCTTTGACTCAAAAATGCAATTTTATAAAGTTCAAGTGTGTCTGACTCAATCAGGAACTTTTAGCCACACCTACGCACAAACACCGCACACACATGGACAAGCTTTTTGACCCCGAAATAATCCAAATCTGAATGTTCCCAAGACCTGAAACTTCCCGTACAGCCAGGGGCTTCCAAAGGTCTGCTGCACAATAGGAATTCCCCTGCTGGATTATGAAGACAGTTCTTCTGCAGTGGACAGAGAGACAAATAAAGGCCACCCTTGTATCCAATTCATGCTGAGCCATCATGCCTGACTCACATTCACACTTTCCCCATTTGCTCAAGGCTCTATGATAAAGTGTAGAAAAACTGTGACATCATCCGTTGACTTTAGCTGAACCGTAAAGTCTGAGCAGAGAATCAGACTAATTCACACAGCTTCAAGGCAAAGTATTGAATCATTTCTGTGAATTGTGGGTACAATGGAAGAGGATGAAAATATGTTTTCAATTGAATATTTCGCTTAATATTTATCATAACAAAAACCTAAACTTATTTATTGTCTTTGGAGACAATAGTTTGACACGCAGACAAAGAACAAGCATGGGAATATATACAAAAAAGACACAAAAGCCAGATTTTGTCTTCAGATTTAAAACTATACTGTAGCTGTTCAAACATTTTAAAGCAGCCTACCATCCAGAAAAGAGACCCTGTGTAGAGTTTAACATTTAGATGAATACAGAGTGCATTCAGCAGAATACCTATCTATTATTGCTTTTTCCAGCTTATCCTTTCATTGTCAATTCATCCTAACTGACAAGAGAATTGATTCAGATTTTAAATTAAACTGAAACTTCATGCTATATTATTAAATAGATATATCCCTAAAATAAAATATACCCAGTGGCGAAGTCTCAGAACAACGTATTAGCTTCAGAGGAACCAGTAATGGGAAAGTAAAGATAAGTGCATAGGTATAGGACTGCCTGCAGGTGTGTGGATTCTTGAAAAATAGCAAAAATGCTTGATTATATTCATATTAGCTGTTCTTTTATTTCTTTGAATCTTGAAATTGAAGGAATTAAGAATAAATCATCATCAAAACTGTGAGGCTAGAAAGGCAGTTTGTTTGTTTGAAATGCTGAAATCTCTTTTGAGGCTGATAGTTGTGACTTTAATGTAAAACATGAAAAGGGTTCAATTTAGCACAACCTTAAACATCTAAAACAGTAAACAGCAATACAATACCAGAAACATTATATTTATAGTAAATCACTGACATTTTTACTGTAGGCTACACTGAATACTTTTCATACATTAAGTACATTTTTCTATTACCTACATGCAACTAAAGTTTGAATCCAGGACTTTGATTTGCAGCAGAGTATGTCCAGTGTAATAAAAGTACTTTTAGTTGAGTGGAGAATCTAAATTCTTCTTCCACAACTTTCAGAACAAAATATAGCTTAAAACATCAAAAAACATATCAAAATATCAACTTCTGTCCCAACCTAACCCTCTTCTCTCTCTCGGCTGCAGTTTGATCATTAACCAGCATCAGATTACACCACCTGCTTTATCTGTGGGTTATCTTGGGTGTGACTGGTGCAATTTAACTAACCATGACCAATTGGGCTTGCTATTTTGCTACTCCACCACATAATTGTCCCTGCCCATGAGCATGGTAGCCTATGTTTCAATACAAAATCTTCATCCAGATTTTTATACAAAACATTCGCATACACGTCACGCGTTTGAATCCTCCTCTGGAGCGTGTTGCGTTTTCTGCGGGACATTCCTCTCATACCTCCACCCGGCCACGCTTCTCCCACGGGGCAGATAACTTCACTTTCTTATTGTTTGAAAGTACAGTACTCACCCAGTTTTTCTTTTTAAATACATCTTTTAAGAGTAATTATCGATAGCAGTGTTTTCCTCAGGCACTATCTAGACACCATTTCCTCTCTTTCTGTCTCATCTGGCACGGACGAACTGTGTTGTTGTTGTTGTTACCGACTTTTTTCAAACATTTGCCCCATATTTCTGACAGTAGTCCCACAATTATTCAGTCTTAACACTTGTATGGGTTTATTTTAAAACCAAAATGTATAGGTTTATCGCAGAAAACAAACCAAACCTGATTAAAGATCCCCCCTACACACACACACACACTTAAACAAATACGCCCCATAATGCAACCATCCTCTCCTAAAAGTTTGTCCTCTTCCTCACTTTGTTATGGGACCCATGGGAGAACCTGAATGACACCTGAAGGAGTCACAAAGCTGCAGTGTGGATGCTGCATTTGGGAGGAGGTGCGGCAAAAGTAGATGAGGAAGACGATGAGAGCGCTGTTGTTCCGTCAAATCTCTCCGTGTCTAACCCAGCAGTCAGTCACTCAGCCAGTCTGTGTGTATTGTTGAAAACGGCAGCGTCGGGCTACAATCCGCACAATTTCTCCGTCCCATCACCCAGAAACTCATCAGCAAACTTTTGGGATTGTTTGATTTTATGAGTGGAGGAAAGCGGCGAGGGAATGGAGAAGCACAAAGGTAAGAGTTTTTCACTTTGTGTCATAACATTAGACTCTGCTGACTTCTCGAGTTTCTCCATGACATCGCTGACAATGCATCTTTACAACAATACTTGCTTTTCAACCATTTGCAACAACTTTTAAGTAATACACATTTAATACACACCACATCTGGCATGTTTTGAATTCGGATGCATTAGAGTCGCCAGAACTGGGTAGAAAGACAACAAATCTGATGTTTTTCTTTAAATTATATTATTTCTTTCTTGTTTTGATAATTGGGAAACCACCATTATGATGTACATCTTCATGTTGATTTCAGTTGTGGTTCCTCCATGCTGTAAGAAACATTGTTTCACTTTGCTTAGCTTTGGTATTGGTCACCTGCCACTAAATAATATTGATGATTACAATTCCTCAGGGGTGGGTTATTGAAGGTAACCAAAGAACAGCCAAAGACTGTCTTGTCAAACTTGTAAGCTGCCTTTGGGCAATGTGTCCTCAGAACCAGAGTTGAATGCAACCTGTGTGCCACCAAGCATATGAAGATTTGTGGCTTATCCCTAACCGCCTCGCCATCCAAGTGGGCTCTATCAAATAGTTTACACTGTGGCCACTGATGAATTCCAATAGCAGCAACATTGTTCTCACAGCATTCCTCAAATTCCTGCGGTTATTTGCCCATGAGGGGATGAGCAAGGCCGTTTAATACTTCTGGATTGGCAAAAGGATCGGCCACGCAATGCACCTCGTCTTGCTGTCAAAACATGTAAAGACATCAAGCAAATAGGCTAGTTAGAAGGAAGTTTATCAAGTCATCTTTGGAGCTGAGAAACATGACATCTGGACCATCAACACTTCATCCAGTTACCTCACCCACACCAGAGTCTGGGTGAGGTTACTGGGTGAAGCAGCTTGCTGGACTGAAAACAATAGTGACTAGTCTAACTGGAATGGACAATTTGAAATTCTTGCTGCAACATTCCCCATCTCCAGCTGACCAGCAGCCCAGTCTGTTTACTCCCACTGTCTCTCAGAGTGGAAGCCAGTGCTGCAATGTGTTCATTCATGGTCCATCCATCATACAAGAAGTCAATGAGTTGATGAGACGACTGGCAAGGAACTAACATGCATTATTAATTCATTTTTCATGCAGAAATAGGAGAAGTTTCTCTGCTTCAAGCTACTCACATTTATGGATGTGCAACTTTTTCTTCTTTTATTGTGTCAAAAATTGAATATCTTTGTGAATTGTGATGGGAAAGTCCATTATTTTCTGACATTTTGTAGATTAAACAACTTTTCTACTGAGAAAATAAGAGCTATAATGTGCATTATCTTAGGATATACATTCATTTTTGACAGAATGTAGTGGAGTGATGCCATGTTTCAGCATTAAAGAAATTGCACTGATTGTTAACTTGACTGTGTCTCTAACAGTTTTATTGTCTAGACCAATACAGCATGTGCCAGTTTCTTAAATCCTCGAGTGGGGTGGGCCTGAGTAATGAGGATCCAATTCATAAGAGTAAAGGAGAGCTGAGGGCAGGTGGAGTGATGCAGGTCAATGATCCCACACCTGGCAGTTAGAGGGTGCAGAGAATGAGGTGGTGTGTGTGGGGTCGGAATAAGAACTAGTTTGTCTTCTGTTGGCAGCTGTATGCAGCAGCACCAGGACACCGAATTAGATACTAACAGCCACAGGCAGCAAGTGGAGGAGGTACGATAAAGGGAAACCTGGGAAAATGCAGGGAGAGACAAGACAAGGCAAGGCATTGTTTAGTATTCTGGATATGCAGTTTCTCCCAAACCTGACTCATGCAGGTTTCATTCCAGATAAACAACTTTCAGCAGCTCATGTCTCTGATCTGCAATCGTTCTGCTGGAGATGGAGATCACACTAGTGAAGCTACCAGGAGCTCGGATATTTAATGAATACTTGTATCAGTAGAGGATGGACTACAGCAGAAATGAAATAATTAGCACATTTGTTACATTCACTATCAACAGAACGGTCGATTTTTAAAAGAAACATTACACAAAATGGGGTTGTAATTTCCCATAAATATAACAATTAAGGGGAATGGAAAAGTGTGTTTATTTATCCTTTTTGTGAGTTCCTCTAGTATTTATTATCTCCATTTCCTTGTCAAACAGTGCCTTCCACCTCATGCCCCTGCTTGTTTTGCTTTCCTTGTTATTATGGATCTCACCAGTTCCTGGGTAAAGCATGTCCATGTTGAATTCACTGTGCTGGCTGCACACTCTTTGCGGTTGGGTTCCCCCCCCCCCCCCCCCCCCCCCCCAAAGAAAAGCAGCGATGGGCTCTAATAGGATGGCTCCTTTTCTTGCCTCGAGTGTCAGTCGTCTTCTCCAACAATAATTTGATACTGTGATCGCTGCCAAAAAGAAAAAGACAAATGATAGCAGATAGACAGATGTATTGATGGGCATTTTTAAAGTGGATTATTCGCTTGAAACACAAACCATGAATCTGGGAATTGACAAAAGATGTCTTTTTTTGGTAAAGTGTCATTAATTATTTTGCCTTCAGGCCTTTTGATCTGCTGTGGCAGGAAGGTTATGAATGAATTTAGACAGCAATAAATAATATATAGCTCAAATTCAGCTTTCAACCATCCACTGCACCATTATTATGGTTATGGTTTCCAACCATTAAATGTTTGTGTGCAGTATTATTTGATGTATTGAGGAAAACCACTTGTTGCTTAAAAGTTATTCTCATTTTTATTAGCGTGCGTATGCCAGTACTGGCTGGCTTTCAGGGGCCTAGTCTGGGAACTGCAGGGATCATGTCAGTCAAAATTACTCCCAGTCAAAATATTAAGCAATTTCTGTAAAAGTCTGTTGAAAATTGTAGTGTCAAAAGTGCTTTTCAGTGTAGCATGACAATGTGAAAGAGTCCGTGGGTTTAGTGGGTTTGACCCTGCATAAGCTCAGCGGAGGCAGACTGAGTTTTAGGACATCAGGGCTGGCATGGGGTCCCCCGCTTCACTCATGTGTGTGTGTGTTTGTGTGTGTCATGGGCTGTACTTGCCAACGGGGAGTGAGTGGAGTGCGGGTAATTCAGGAAGCTATAAAAATGATGAAAAGAAAGACGGTCTCCCTGATCTGTGGCAGTGCAGCGCCTTTTCACCCTCAGGCTCTCGCTCCTGTTCATTTACAACACATCAAACGTGGCCTTATTTATTGGATACAGGAGCTCTGGATCAGACCTGTATTTTTTTTTCTCACCAGGTAGAAGGAAATGGTAGATTAGAACAAGAGCTTACTGTCTTGTAATCACACACACATGCACACTCACTCGATCTCACTCTCCCTGCAGCCCTGGCCACTTATCTGTGGGATAATAACTGAGCACAGAAGCTTTCATGTGGGTGACTCTGAGGGGGCATTGCTAGTTAGTTTTTATTTGTCAGCAGCTGCTTCTAGTCTGTCGCTTTCTTTCTCATCAAGCCAAGAGCGTGGAGCCTCGTAATTTTTTCTTTAAACGTGAATCTGCATATATCTGCATTTGGCTGTTGCTGGGGTCCTGTAGAGCGAAGGGACGTAAGAAGAGGGAGAGATTGGAGGAGGGATGTTGGCAGGGTGCTGCTTTAAGAGGAAGAAGTGGAACCACACTGAGCCTCTTCTGCACCATGGCCCAGGGCTGACACATTTTTCATCTCTGTGTGTGTTTGTGAGCAACATGCAGAGAAAGAGATATAGAATTGTGTCTGGAGGAGTCACAATATTATCATTTCATGGCAAAGGAACTATCCAGCATTGACTTATCTGAATGTACTGCAGATATTAGTCAATGCTGTTGGTATCTTTAGTTGTTTCTGATGTAAAATAAGAGAACTCATGTTGGATTTATTACAGCAGCGGTATTCACGTTCCAGTTAGTGCTGTAAGATATGATAATATGTAATAAAAACTGCTAACATTGTTTCAGAGTTGTCATTAAACATAGTTAGCTAAAGGCTACATAAATTCCTCAGAGGTTTAAAAAAAATAGCATAAATGGCAGATTCTGGCATTATCCTTGAAACTTTGTTTTAATTCAGCTCTTTTTCTCACTTCCCACATATTTGACTTTGCTTCCTAGACAGTCTCTCACACACATACACAAACTTCATGTCATCGACTAAGCCAGCATTTTGAACCTCCAGCTCAAGCATTCATCTGCAGGGACTACAGTAACATGCGCTGCATCCTAATCAAGATGAAGTTGCTCGAGTACACCATGGCTCCTTCCTTTAAAAAAACAAAGATTCACTTGGATTTTAAGAGCCCATTAGCATGTTCCAGCTATAAAAACGGATTCCTCCAAGGGCTGAGCTGTAAGGCTCGATATCACTGACACTGCACAGATCTAAAGACAGACTGGAAGAAAAGAAAAGGGTGTTGGGAAAGATAAAGCGTGAGATGAATAAAGACGAGGTTCAATAGTTGGGACAGAGGGGAGATGAAAGAGGAGCAACTTGAAAAAGAAAGTGGAAGTACGCTTAAAGTGACTCTTCCTCACGTATTTGTAACTTGATAAAAGCTAACACTTCAATCTAGCCTGTAGCTATGGTTTTAACATTTGCTGCCCACAGACTCTTTTTCTCTTAAAGGTCCCATGTCATGGCCATTTCCACTGATCATAATTCCATTGTTGAGGTCTACTAGAATAGATTTAAATTGTGCATTTTTCCAAACTCACATTGGTGTGTGTATTCACTGAATTTCACTCTCTGCCTTTAACGGCTCGTTGGAGCTCCAATAGCTCCAGCCCCCACCCTCCCTGTGAGCACAGTGTGCTCTGATTGGTCGGGACGTTGTGAATCGCGCTGAGCTCCGTGGAGGTTTGGTTTCCTTGTAGCGATACACAGCCAAACTCATCCTGAGCACACACAAACTCACAGCCGAAGTAAAAACAATAAGTGTGGCTTGATATTGAGTAAGAAAAAGGTTGATAAACGCTGTGAGAATGGGTCTGCAGAGAGAATTTCGCCGCGATCCCAACTGTCT